ACACACACACACACACACACACACACACACACACACACACACACACTAAGGGAACTCTTCGGTGACTCCAAATTGAAAGGGTTGCAAATGCCAGAGGGAAAAGAGGAGAAATGCAATGCAGAGGAACAGAAGACAGCAGCCATAGCAAGAAAAGCAGAAAATAATAAAGATTTAACTGTAGGGAAAGAGCAGCCGCTCCCTTTGATGGGAAATATTCAAAGCACAGCACAAACTTGAAAAGGAGAGACGGTGCAGGCGGTGAGTCGGATTTAGACCAGTCATGCAATGCTCGAACAAGAAAAGGAAGTTAATACCATTTTGAAGCTCACTTTCAGAGGTGGAAAGATCGCACAGCTGGCAGGTTGCAAAGTCCCTTTTTACGAGGCTCTAATAAGAGGATAGATTATTTCCGAGTCACTTCAAACCAGAATGTGGAAATACACAACAAGCCAGAGGACTGATGAAAGGGTTAACTGAAATGAGTGCATGGAAAGGATGGATTGATTTCTGGGGACATATTAAATGCACTAAGTACATATACTTGATGAGGTAATAATTAAGGTCACTGGGGAAGCCATGGGAGCTATCTGGGAAGGGAGGCCCTGAGCAGCGGGTGTAGAATAGCTTAGAACATCTCACACAGGCAAGCAGGTAAGTGGGAGTGATGGGGTGCGACCCACACAGGAGTGTTCACAAAGTCTCAGTGCAAACTTCCTGACAGGGTGAAGTTTATTGCATCTCTGTGCAACTCAGATTTCAAGTGACCTTTCACCATTCCGTGAGTGAAGTCATTTCCTTTGAGGAAAGGTGCTATATAAATGTAAACATGGGAGTCTGCACTGGACAGAGTGTTAGAAAATAGATACATCCTGGAATCCTCTTGCCCCAATCCTCCAGAGACAGGCTGATTGTGACCTCATAGATCTTTCTTTTCATCTTCTATTTATGAGAATTGTATCTGACACCACCAATTTGGTTTACCCTCTCCATGTGGGAAACTCACAAACAAGTGATATTACTGGAGACCACACTGTTCTAATAAAGAACTCGCCGAGGTCAGTCCTGACCCAGCTTGTCTGGAAGAATGATTATGTGACTAATATCAGTCTGTCTGGAAAACCCTTGATCGGGAGAAAGACTGGGTTCTGATCGAGAAAACTGAACTACATAGAAATATCCAGAAGTAGAGCCTTGCAGAAATCAAGTTTGTTCATTTGCTCTGCATGTATATAATCTGCAGTCCCTTCACATGTTTTACATCCACTCCTGCAAATGGCTTCCTTCTTCCATTCCACAAAGCCAGGTCCAACGAAAGTTCGGTGTTAATATCCTTCTCCACAGGAGGCTTTTCTGATTCTTAGGATACCATGGAGCCCTCCCAAGCCTGGTAACCAGCCTTTGTTAGTGGTGTCATAGCCTAAGATGCCATTTAATTACTAATCACATTTTTGCCCTAGCTTAGGGTCTGGGACTCTGAGGTAAAAAGGTGAGATGATTCTCATATTCCACCTCTCTTCACCCCCACAGCACAGCCCACCCCACAGGTCTGTGCTGACTGGTAAGCCTAATTATCCATAAATGGAAAAGAAGCTAAAGGTGATTTTCTTTCAGCTGTGAATTAACTAAAAAGGTCACCCAAAAATGTGATTTTTTTCCTCCCCAAGGAACAGTGATATCAAAAGCTAATGAAATCTGAACTTTATCATTTTCCACTGAACTTTTCATTGAGTTTTTAGAATATTAAGAAAAAGGGAAAAGAGTGTGAATAAAAGGAAAACCAGAAGACAGGAGGTGGTGTTAAGAGGTGCTGTGTTAGTAGGTCATCCTTGCTATAAGGCCATACACAAATGGCGGTTTTGTTACTGGTAAATATAAAGATGTTGTGGGTTTTCAGAAAATAGGTATAATATCTATTTAAACTCTTTATTGAGTACCTATAACATGCTTGACATTATAATGACAGTAAAGAATGTTTGAGACTAGTAGAGTGTCTCAGTTATAGTGGACATATAACACACAGCGACTTTACACATAAAAAAAAAAAAATGAATGAAGAGGCTCAAACTAGATCAGTGCTTCCCTGGCCCAGACGCCTGAGGGTTCCAGTTACAGAAGTATCTACGACTTTTTATGACATGGAAAGTCACAAATTTTAATTCTTAAGGAGCTAAATGATCAGTAGTGACACTGCTGACATTTCTGGAAGCAAGACTTTTAGCCCTAGGGGAGGGCTGAGTAACAGAGCATTTGGCAAAGGACAGGCTGGATGCAGCATTATCCTTGGAGGGTCTTCCCTGGAGCAGAATGGGGATCTTAGAATGAACTCCACTGTTCTGTACCTAAGAACCTAGTAAATCCAGAGACATCCCACATCAGTTCTGGTGGAAGAGTTGGCCTAATATTAAATAATAGGCAAGTGTGTTGTCTTTGTACCATAGTTTCTGTTTCAGTGGCTCTCAAATTTGAGGTAACTGAGAGTTATTGTTGTATTCACATTCCAGTATTAACTTTCATTTAGATGACCAATGAAACACCAGACTTTAGGTGGCTCTCTATCATTCAGAGTCTCTAGCTCCATCCTAAAGATTTCCACTCAGTAGGTCTAAGCCTGGAGCCTGCAAATAAATATTTAATTAAATAAACAAGTGAATTCCAAGAGGGTGGTCCTAGAGCCAAATGTTGAGGAAGATGCTTTAACTCCAATATCCTTACTATTTTAATAAACTTGCCTATGTTATAAATGTTGTAAGCTGTAGTTAGATAGGGGAAGAACCTTTAAATCACATTAACCAAACCTAACAGATTGCAAATGGAAAAAAAATAGGAAAAACAAAACAGCACAGCGACATGTGTAGTTCTTTACCAAAACCGTAGTATTTTAAAGGCAGGATTAGACAAACATGTTTTTCTTTCGTTTTCTTTCTTGGAACATAATTTTTTTTTTGATGACATCAGACTTAGCATCCTGGTCAATGTGCAATTAAATGCAACTTCATTTGTTGTTCACGATTAGTCTACCAGGACCTCAGTTTCTAAGATATGCAAGGGGAGATGGTAAGTTTTAAGTGAAAGAAAAATGTAGTGATAAAGCCTTGGTCAATCAATTCCTACCTCACAGAAAATTTTAAATATTTAAAACATTTTGAAAAATTTAAAATATTTGACTCACAGAAGTCTAGGGGAGTTCTACTACCAAGTTCTTGCATTTTTGAACCCCCCTTTCCTTTCTCTTCATGTGCATATGTATATACAATTGGCCATTTTCAACCCACAAAACAGCATTTTCATAGTCTTTCCTAATATATAAACTGTGATTACAATATCGATAATGTCATAGTCTAATCAATTCAGTTAAATATTAGCAATGATTCTTGTAGCTGTTCTTTTCATTATAGGATATCTTCATATATACAATTGACTAGTACACAGGAAGGATTTTATGTTCAATTCTACTAAAGTGTTTTGCATTTTTCACATAAAAATCTTTCTGACTATATTGAGCAATATCATTTCTCCCACCATCAGAGCCAGTGTGGGCAGGTTTTTTTTTTTTTTTTTTTTTAACCTTGTGTGTCTAGACTTCAAAGTAAAAGAAAACAGCAGTGCTTAAAGGTCATGGGAGTATTATTGTTGACGCCTTTGAAATCCACACAGTTGTCAGACTCCAGGAAACATCAATTCTGGCCAATGACATGAGCCCAAATTCCCGTCAAAAGGTCAATAAAGTAGGTGAAAGCAGGACACCTTATATATAGAATGCAATTAGAAAACATAGATCAAAGGTTAGGTCAGAACAAACCTAACTCACCAAGGCCAAAGATACTACTAAGACAGGTTCTCTCATTTCAGCAGAGTGAAGATCAAAGGAGTGACCCCATATCTTGGAGAGGGGCTTCTACTCTTTACTAATGGGGAGTATTACAAGTCCTTTCCTACAAACAAGCAACTGTTCCTGGTGACAGAAGAGGAAGCAAATATTTTCTTTCTTTTTTTTAAAAATCTTAGAACTAAAGATATATTTTAGCTGAAGCATAATTTGCAAAAATAGAAAATTGTGGGAAAGAGAGGGATACTATCATTGTCTACAACAAGACAAATTTATGAGTAATGAATAAAGTTATTCATCAATTGAATATTTGGCATTTGAAAATAAATATGACAATATTATAGATCTATGACTTTGGAGAAATATAAATAATTTGATACTATATAGCCATGATACATAGTTTTTCCAGGATAAACTGCAAGTTAAAGCAAAGCAAAGCTAATTTGTGTTTGTCCAATGTTCAGGCATTAAATTTTTTAAAGATTTATTATTATTATTATTAATTATTTTGTATGTAAGAGAGTTTTGCATACGTGCATACCTGTTGGAATCCTTGAACTGGGGTTGTGGATAGTTGTTGGCCAACATATGGGTTCAGGGTATCTAACCCAGGTCTTCTGTAAAAGCAACAAGTGCTCTTAACCACTGAGCTATTTCTCCATCCTCTGCTCAGGAATTTTACAACATTCTCTTTTAGTATTCACCTCCTTTCTCAATTCCTTTTTCACTCAACCCCTGCAATGTGAGTAGTACCAAACTCAGCATAAACTTACCTTACTGTGATCACCACCATTAATGAAATAGCCAGCATTCCACCTTCATTTCGCTTGATTGGGGTAATGGATACTGTTATAAGCTTAATGTCCCTATCTCTACCACTGCAAACCTTCCCTGGGCCATTTCTACTTTCACTGCTTCAAGAATATTTTTGTTTCCTCTATACTGATGTCTTTGCCTTTATCTAGTCCCTCTTTATTTGTAAATGCCCCAGATTTCACCTTTATTGATTTTTCACACTTTACACACGTCTCTTTTCTAGAACTATTTTCTGTGTTGTTCACATGTAAATGTATTCCTTTGCTTTGGCTACTCAAGTTCAGAGTTTTATCTCAGTGTCTTGAGTTGGATGCTAGGCAGTACTATACTATTGTGCTATGTCCCCATCACTCACCATTGTTCCTTAAGATGGTTTCACTAAGGTTCCCAAGGAGGCTATGAATTTGTGATCTTCCTAACCTCAGCCTGCTGAGTAGCTGGAATTGCATGCTAAGCACAGACAATTTTTTTCCTTATTGTGCCAGTCAATGATTTAGCACCAATTCTATCTCTTCAGATACCAACTATGGATTCTCATCACCTTGATAGATCTAGATAAGATTGCTTCATGTCCATGGAATGTCACTGTCATCAGAACTATGTTGTTCACATTTGGATAGCAAGTGGCCTCCTCTATTTTGACTTATCAACAATCACACTTTTCTTTTCCTTTACACTTCATCTTGCAATGTGTATCAAATATTTTTAAAGCCACAGTAAATACAAAATCACTCCAACTATATGCAAAGAACATAATTTTCTTCCATTCCCTCTCCATTCTTCACATTGAATTAAACACAAACTATCTGCTTTTAAATAGCCTTCCAATGTGCTTGCTCTTCTTGTGCCTTTCTTGATATTCTAATCTTATCACATCACTTACCACATCTTTTCCTAGACTGTTTTTGGTCCATAGTCTTTCTTTTCATTTTTCATTTTCTTGGACCTTCATTGTATTTCCAATACTAGAAACAGTTACCCACATTTGCAGGTGATGGATTTTTCCATAATGCAACACTATTCTTATTTTTAGACTTCCTTGTTGTCTCCCCACCCACTTCAATATGATATTTAATATGTCATGTGAAACAAATTGGTCTTATTTTCCAAACAAGACCTCTCCTGAAATTCTTACACTTGGTATCATTATTATTTTAGCCAAATTGTCATGCATAAATTTTCACAGCTTTAGTTTGTTCACTTGTCCTGAAACAACTTCATACATTTCCTAGATGCCACCTTCAGTGCCTGATCAACTCCAAACTCAGGAGGTCTGTAACCTCCAGAAAATAATCTCCAGTAGGCCTTCAAAAGTATAATAGCCTCTGCTGTCTGCCTACAAAGTAAACATTTCCTCTTGCACTTAGTGAAGGATACTGAAAGAATACTATTTCTTAACTACGCTACATCATTAATGAATAAGCAGACTATTTGAGCATCTACATTGTTCTGGATATTGAAGAGCAGTTGTGTGATAAAGTTCATTCAAATAAACCAACAGAAGCCCATGCACACTATTGTTTAGTACCACATTCAATGACATCATAATATGAGATTGAAAGTGATTACAAAAGAAATATTTATACCATAGAAATCAATGATGACTAGACATTGAGTATCTTGCTCTAAGAACTGCTTATCAGCAGTGTATCAAGAAATTTGCAAGCCGGGCGGTGGTGGTGCACGCCTTTAATCCCAGCACTTGGGAGGCAGAGGCAGGCGGATCTCTTTGAGTTCGAGGCCAGCCTGGGCTACCAAGTGAGTTCCAGGAAAGGCGCAAAGCTACACAGAGAAACCCTGTCTCGAAAAACCAAAAAAAAAAAAAAAAAAAAGAAATTTGCACAAAGTTCTTTTTATTATCAAAATACATATTCTAGTGAAGTAAAAATATGTCAAATAAGAAATGATTTTCATTTGATGTTCAGAGGTCCCATGTACTATGGATAGAATAAACAGAACAAGGTAGAGTGACTCGGGATAACATAGGCATCACCAAGGATTAAGAAATCACTGGGTAAAATAAATAGAAATTTCTTAATAAGAAAAAAAAAGACATCACTGGGCCTAAGAAGGGGTGGCAATGGGGACTTGCTACTGCCTTCAGGAATGACAGAGAAGTACTCCAGGGTCATCATGATATTGTCCTTTAGGGGTAGAGTATGACAACTTTGCTTTATTCCTAGTGCCTAGAATAATACAACAGATGTTTAATTAAGGTTAAAATAAATTAGAATCTTCTACATGGAGTCAGATCACTAGTTCTCAGTTCCACATTCTGCTGTCCTGAAGCTGTTTTTGATTAATGAAAGCATTCAGAAGGGGCTAGCATTTTCTCTTTTCCACCCAGAAATTCAGCTACCCACTAATTACTTGTGTTTCCTTTAATAATGAACCTAGAGTATTGTCACTCTACTCAAGGCTTCTCAAACTTATGTAGGTGTATAAAAGTCAACTGCAAAACTTTATGCCATATATTTTAATTCAATGTGTCTGGAAAAGCTAACTTGTTTTCAAGTTCTGAAGACCCTACTTGGTAACTGTGTTCTCTTATGAAGTACTACTGATTGGTGCTGGATGCTGTACTTTCCTGCTGTATATTTTCCAGCTTCATCCCTGATAAAAATCAGAGAGCAAATTTTACCTCTCTCATACATAAAAGTTCTGAATTACTTAACATCCAGCCTTCTTTGCCCATGTTAAGTGTTCCCATCTTCCCACACTGTTCATTGATCTAAGTGGCTTGGAGTCACCAGAATCTGATGTCAGGATATTAGCCTTCCTTGAATGATGCAACTTCCAGGGTGATGGAATGTAGTCGGAAGATTTCCTGTGTCCCGGCCTGACAGTAGTCGGGACTAATCTCCCCTATTCACATCTCCCAGTAAACTGCATGGCCATGGTTCAAGCCTTTTGCTAGCTAGCTCTTACTATCTTAAATTAGCCCATAACTATTTATCTATGTATCGTCACATGTTCCGTGGCTTTACCTGCATCCCATTAAATGTTGCTCCTTGAGCAGCTTGCTGGCATCTCTCTCTGCCTTCTTTCTGTCCTTCTCTTTGTATTTCCTGCCTGCCTCTAAGCTGCCTTGCTATAGGCCAAATGACTTTATTTATCAACCAATCAGAGCAACACACATTCACAGTGTGCTGAAAGACATTTCCCCATCAATGGAATCCTGTAACATTCACCAAGGCACAACACTTGGATTTCAATCTCATAGTCCCCTGTTCTGATTCCTTCTTTTATGTGACTGTTTATATTGAGATTGCTCCCTGATAAGAGTGAGAGAATGGGGCACAGAATGCTTCTTTCATTTCCAGAGAGAGATGGGTTGACAGACAGAAATGGCAAAGACACAGTTTATTGTGTTCTTTACCCATCACCATCCCTCCTATTTCCAGCCTCCTATTTCAAGAAGAGCAAACTTTCTTCCCATTTCCCTTTTCATTTTTTTTTTGTTTCCTTATACTGAGAAAACATGACATGTCAAATATTACCACAGGAGTAAACACATCAGTAAGTGCCACAGGCAAGTCCCTGGCCACTTAAGCAGACATTCAGAAAACAAATAGCATGTTGCCAGCTACATATTACTAAGAAGAATAAAGGCCAGTATAGTAGAGAAAGGAAGAAGGAGGAATTCTCTGAAATCAGATGGGGAGACCCCCTGCCCCATGTAGGCATATTGAGGCAAAGGCTATTTAAACCCCTTCTCTCTGGCTCTCAGTATAGATGGTGGATGGGGACACATTTTAACCTCTATATTTTATGGTCTTGTGACTGTGCCTGCAAACTCTTTTGACATAAAATAGATTAACAGGAGGAGAGCATACAGATTTGTTTAATACAAATTTCATGTTACACAGGAGCATCCATGAAGAAAGGAATTCCAAAAATGGGAATGAACTCTAAATGCTTTAAAAACAGGTTGAATAAAGAAAGGCAACTGTGGAAGTGCAACCAAACCATGTGGAGAGGAAATGGTCGGAAAAGAATGATTTTAACAAGGTCTGTTTATACAGAATTCTCCCAGCCTCAGCTTGCTACCCTTGATGATGAGAACACTATTTTCTCCCTAGTACCGCAAGGACATCTCTGAGTGGATATAACCTCCTGCTTCCAGGAAGAATATTGGGAAGACTTAGAGTGTCCTTGCTGCACCTGTTGGCTTTTAAAAATGTCTTTAATTCAAAATAACCTTATGTCAAAGTAGCACCACCATCTTTCAGTATCTTGTATTTGCATATTCAAAAGACTCCTGCAGGGGACTCATTCTGCTGTCCATCAAAAACATGGTTTTCAGGGACTCTGTCTTCCTCTCGTTCATACAACTTTCAACAAGCAGTGAACAGCATGGGGATTTTATTCCCAGCTTATTTTCATTGTTCTCTCCTTCCCTCACACCTACCAAACGACGAAAGATAGAGTTGAATGTGGACATTTGGAATTATTTATTGAAGTCCTTTATAGAATAGGGCACTGACTACAAGGCAATTCTGCGGGTGTGTTCTGACCTATGCTTAGCCCAGCTTCCCCAGCCTGTCCCTCTATTTAAACACCAGTGGCTTATGCATGCAGCATAAGAACAAATTTACTTTCTTGGCAGTCTTGCCCTTCTGTTGACTCACCTCAAGTTTACAGTAAACTGCTGCCTCTGAGTCTTTCCCTGTAGCTGCTGTATCCACAGTATCTTAAACATGGGCTTGCTCTCCTAATGAGAACCAAGTCTCTGACCACTGTTGCTTACTGAACATAAAGCTTTAAAATAGTAATGATAATAAAAGTCCCATGCAAATGTAAATTAGCTTCCTGGTTATATCGCCAAGGAAAAATCAAATGCAAGGGCAGAAAGAGCTGCAAGAAATCAGCAAAGATTTCTACAGCCTGCTTAAACTTCACCGGTATCTTGCAGGATCAGAAGTTAACACTTTGTCCTCATATTCATCTCTTTGTGACTCCCTTTTCACTCTGGCTTAGCTCCCATCTCCTAGAAAAAGCCAATGGTTT